GTAGACCAAGCATCTGAGAATGGCTTTCTTATATTGGGCTGACTAGAAGGCATGGAAAATGGTTTCTTAATTAAGCTGATGGGGGAGAGAAACAAAGAGAAAACAGAGAACATATCTTTCTGGTCAGCTCCAAAGACTGGGTCAGCTGCACATTGCCTTGAGTCTTGAGAGAAATCCGTCACAGTTATAATTCATCCTTCCCTTTATAAACAAGCTACAGCCAGTTCCTATTGATTGCAGCCTAAATAAATCTATCTAACACGCATGAAAATACATTAAACTCATTCTTTGAAGTGAACTTATGTGTTATGTTTTCAATAAGTAGAAAATCCCAGTGTAGAATTGATCTCTGAGTTATGGGCCCTGATAAGTCTGTAAAATCAAATTTAACCAAAGCTTAACTCTTTGGGTAATTTTACTCTGATAATCCCTTATAGATGCCTTAGACTGACTGAGTATAAGAAAGGTATAGTCAATCAATGATGACAACTGTGTAGCATCTCATTACGATGGGAGTAACTTGTAGGAAGCCATCCAAGGCCCCACCGCGTGGTCTCCAGCAGAGACTGTTAGCTCCCCATCCTTTTCCAACTGAAGTTATGTTTTCCATTTCCTCTTGAAGTCAGGGAACCACAGAGACAGTAGTAAGCAATGTGTTGGGTTCCCTGGAGCTGGAGTTACAGACACTTGTGAGCCACCCAACATGGGTGCTGGGAACTGAACTTGGGTCCTCTGGAAGAGCAGCCAGTGCTCCTTAACTGCTGAGACATCTTACCAGCTCACCGCTTTGGATTTTTTTGTCCCTACCTTTCATAGGCAGTCGAATGTTCTTTGCTCCCTTTTATGTTTTGTGTTTCTCTAGAACTGATACTTAAATCTTGTGAAACCATTTAACTTAAGACATATTGATGTTCTCTCTTGTTAGATTATAACTTCTTGAGGACATGGCTCCTCATTGCATATCTTTGCTTTGTCTATAGAGATTAATAAAATTCATCCAATATTTACTATTAATTTTGGCTTAATTAATTTGAATTCCAGAAGTGGGTGTGACCTTTGCCCCTTTCCAAGAAATTGGAAAAGGGAAGCCGGGCATTGGTGGCGCACGCCTTTAATCCCAGCACTCGGGAGGCAGAGCCAGGCGGATCTCTGTGAGTTTGAGGCCAGCCTGGGCTACCAAGTGAGCTCCAGGAAAGGCGCAAAGCTACACAGAGAAACCCTGTCTCGAAAAA